TCTTCCCCCACTTGTGCTCCTTCCTAATACTAATAGCTGAGGCCCATCCCACGTAGTATGTTCCATACTGTACGTGACAATAACAATAAAAATGACAATGACAGCGACAATAATGATAATAATAACAATAAATAATATCAAGTGATACTAGACGATTTTAGTACATATTAATTAATAGAAAACGAGTTGTACGGAAACTTCCTTATTATTAAAATTATTTTGGATCTTTGGGAGACGATACTTTGATCTATTTGTTTCAGAAGGAACCACCAATGCATAAAGCTCTGACTTATTCACTTTCCTGCACACGCTTTCCAGCAAGGCCATAAGCTCTCGTGCAAGCTCTGCCCACCTGAAAAAAAAGTCGGAATTCTATGTAGAATTACTTCTGTAAAACTTTCAGGAAAGCCATATGGCATTACACATAGTTTTACATATGGCATTACATAAAGGGTTTTAGCTTGGTGATGCCATATGTAATTCCATATGAAAAAACACATGGAATCACTAATTGGAAAAAGAAAAAATTTTTATCATCTAGAAATAACTGCAAAATACCATAATAAGTTATTTGCAGTTACCAATTTGTCTTACCATCGGGATAATAACTCCAAAACAAGGGGGCTCAGCTGATTTTACTTCGATGGAAAAAAAATTTTTTATTTTTTTTATTTTTGAAATATAACTTGAATCCTCTTGTTTTCCAGTTATCTTTTAGACGGTAACACTAATTGTTAACAGTAAATGACGCATTACAGTATTCTGCAGTTATTTCTAGATGACAAACTTTTTTCCTTTTTCCAATTTGTAATTTTATGTGTTTTTTTAAATGGAATTACAAATGGCATTACCAAGCTAAAACCCCTTATGTAATGCCATACGTAAAATTATATGTAATGCCACATGGCTTTCCTGAAGGTATTGCATAAGTAATCACACATGGAATTCCGTCTTTCTCTTTCAGGTCCCTATCTCAAGTTATGACGTCAATCATGACGTCATGTGTGACATCGCAAAATACGTCATTCATGACGTCATGTGTGACATCGCAAAATACGTCATTCATGACGTCGTGAATGACATCATGTTGACGTCAATATGATGTCATTTACAATGTCGCTGAAGACGTACTCCACGACGTCTCAAAAGACGTCATTTACATATGTTGTTGTTTAACAAAGGGATCTTTAAAAGCATTTGATGGCCTTGTAGGTGCTACCATCTAGATGTTAACACCAAAACAGAGGGATTCAAAAAGTTTTTGAATTTAGAAAGTTTTTTCTCCATTTGAGAAAATTTTTTTTTTATTATAAAAAATACTTGAACTTCCCCGTTTTAGTGTTACCATCCTGATGGTAGCACCTACAAGGCCATCAAATGCTTTCTAATAGCCCTTTGTTAAACAACAACCTATGTAAATGACGTTTTTTGAGACGTCGTGGAGTACGTCTTTTGCGACGTCGCAAATGACGTCATGTTGACGTCAATGTGATGTCATTTACGACGTTATGAATGACGTATTTTTCGATGTCTGGAATGACATCATTATTGACGTCATGACTTGAGATAGGGGTGGGTGACTCATTCGCATTCTTGCACGAAGCCACAAACCCTCACGCAAGCTTGGACTCATGCATGTACAACTTTTCCAAAGCCATAAACCCTCATGCGAGCTCTGACTCACTCGCATTTCTGCACGTACTTTCCTAGAAGGCCTTATACAAGCTTTGACTCAGTCACATTCCTTCACGTTCCTTCCAAGAAGCCGCAAAGCCCTCGCACAAGCCCTGACGCATTCATAAATTCCCCTCACTATACCTGCACCCTTAGAATTTGTATACAGGTTGACTCAGCTTCGCACCCAGCCTATCCAGTAGGTTAAGAAGGTGTGGCCCGCACCCTAATGCAATCACGCAAGCTCGCAAGCTGACGCATAGTCCTCAGGACCTACAGGATCTGCAGAGTGCAGAGCCAACACGCGAGACCCACATCACCGGACCCGGAAAAGCGTAGAAAAGGGACGGACACCAGGAGGCAGATAGATAGTTGAACTTTGAGGCCAAATTGCTGTAGAGCTTGCGATGGTTAGTTTGGCGCTCCCCTACACACCAAACGGCACGTACGCCTCTGTAAACGTTCTATGCTTAGCCAGGGAAGTCCAAAAATCAAAAACGATTTCCTAGGCCCAGGTTGATAACCAAGACACCATCTTCACGAGTTCTTGGAGAAGAGCTTCCCATCAAGGGACCCAACAACAGCCGAGTACCAGGAGCTCACAAGCACCCAGGGGCCATACCATATAACTTTTCTTTGCTTTGCAGGCCTATGTTATAATATAGGCCCGTAGAGTAAAAAAAAGCTAAATGGTACGGACCCAGAGACCAACTTCGAGAGCAGTAGAGACCTTCTTGCTCGTGGCCTGGCACTTTCGTGCCTCACCTGATAACAAGCTTACCTGAACAACGCTATCTGTTGGATGAAGAACGCCACCCACAACTTCGTGCTCTACGCCTCTACCTCTCTCTACACCCAAAGACCAAGTCGTTAGTCCGTTAGTGTCGTAACTCGTAACACATTGAGCCTGTGCATATGCTTGTGTTTTTCACTTCGTAGGCCTTTAGATTATAGGCATAAGAATTGTAGACTGATCGTTATTATGTACAGCACTGAAGCACGAGTAGAAAGAGAATGAGCATTGAGCCCTTAGAGCATATACATAATTAAATTTACAATAATTAAACTTTTGACTCGACTGATGTAAATATTATGAGCAAACGGCACTTACTCAAAGTGAAATACTACTATACCTATACATGGAGTCAACGAATAGCCAATCGCGAACGAACAAGGAGAAAAGGGTTAAAAAGTGGGGTACCCCAAACCTACTGCTTTCTCTCTCTTCAGTTGCCTACACGTCATCCCATTACGTGCTTTCTCCATATGTATATGCTCTAAGATTGAGCCTGGGTATGTGTCTCTCTTGCACATTGAGAAATTGAGAATATTGGGGAGCTGAGGAGGTTGCATTAGCCATACTTATAGTGTACTGACCCCTCACCAATGGTAATGTCTTAGAGAGACAGATACCCATGCTCAATGCTGTTTGCTGTGTCTCTTTCTACTCGTGTTTCAGTATTCAGTGCCATACAAAAAAACGAGCAGTCTATACTTCTTGTTTGTCTATGGTCTGGATAACACAATAAAAAGAATGAACAAGCCAAAGCAGATAATCAGATATAGAAGATTAATGGAATTACCATAGACATATTAGACAAACAGACTGCTCGTTTTTATGTGTGTACCGTGTACGGCGCTGAAGCACAAGTAGAAGAAGACACAACATCGAATGTGTGTAATTGTCTCTCTCGCTCGTTGCCAACGACGGGGGTGAGTAAACTAAGGCTAACTGATGCAACGTCCCCACCATTTGCAACGTGTGAGAGAGACATGTACACGTTCGATGTTGTGTCTCTTTCCACTTGTGCTTAAGCGCAATCAGCGCTGTACATAAAAACGAGCAGTCTATTTCTTATATGTCTAAGTATGTGTCACGTCTCGAAGTCGTAGGTTGTATACCTATATATGCATTCTTACGTCAAGTCCTGGCCATACCCTTTTGATAAACTAATTACAATACTGGCCAGGGCCTTGGTGTTAAGCTACGGCCGTCCAGTGGTTATTTATTTTTGGCATAAGGCCCAAGGCCCTCAGGGGCCGTGAAAAATCTAAGTCAGCCCCAACGCTTACGAGCAAAACCTCGCATTTCGTAGAGATTAAAATGTTTTTGTCATATTTTTATTTCAGTGAAAAGTTATGTGGCAATCAAAATTATGCCATGTAATTAGTTTTATAAGCCAGCTGCAACATCTACTAGCGGATCTAAAAATGTTTAATTTATGTATTACTCTGCCATTTGCGACAAGATAAAAGATGATCTATTCTCAAGAATTGACCATGGATGCATTTTTTTAAAGGTCGATTTTTGAGTAAAAGATAATTGTTTATCTTGCCGCAACATACATTATTTCCGTGTCACTCAATCCGCGTAGGGGCTCGCGAATATCTGGCTGTCTAGAGTATATCTGCCTATTTAGTAACAGAGGCCCGCATAGCAACTAAAAGTTATATGTTACGACCGGTGATAAGTATTGCGGCTGGTTCAGATTGTTGATCACTCTTGGGCCTTAGCTCTTGGTCTATTTATTAAGCTATAGACTGCAGTTACATGGAGCGCAATAGAGCGTGCAGCATAGACTTGTCCCCGGAAGCCAATGTGTTAACTCTATCCTGCTGCGGAACAGGTCTATGCAGTAGCAGAATAAACTTAACACAGTAGCTGAGGCCGCGAGCACATGTAGAGCGTAACGCGTACTGCGTAACAGTTTGAGCCCATGAGGATGAGAGAGAGGTGCACGTATTTTACTTCTCTCTCACTCTTGTGGGCTAAAATTGTTACGTGGTACGCGTTACGCTCTACATGTGTCCGCGGCCTTAGGGGGACAATTCTATCCTGCATGCTCTATTGCGCTCCATGGGTGTCATCCGCAATCGCCGCCAGCAGTTACATATGTAAGACGTGATAACGTTGCTTGGTTGGGGGCGCTACGGTCGATTTACTGGTGATGTGATCTGCAATCCCGCCAGCAGGAAAGCAGACGACGTCAGTCTACTAGCTCTTTTTCGTGACATTTTCTGATTGTAAACAAAGCATATTGTGCTAGACGTAAGCAAACACGCAGACCAACAAAAATAGTTTTTAGTGCCAAAAACAAATATGGAAATAACAGCTTTACTGCTGGCGGGATTGCGGATCACATCACCAGTAAATCGACAGTAGCGCCCCCAACCACGCAACGTTGTCACGTCTTACATGTGTAACTGCTGGCGGCGATTGCGGACTACACCCCATGTGACTGCAGCCTAATACTCTGATGGGCAGATGGGCGCGGTCCGTGGTGTAGAGTCTACTTCGCATCTTCGCGACCTGGGACTGCACCGTCTGCACCCTTAAGTGTGATGATAATTTCAAATGTAATTAAAAATACGGAGTTAAAGCATTAGCTGCTAATTTTCTGCATTAAAAAAAAAATGAAACTCTTTTGGTACTTGTAAAATACAGTCCTTTTTATTTTGATATTAAATAGAAGTAATAGATAAAATTACTCACGCTTTAATGATTTCATAAAGAACCTACATTAATTTCTTAATTGTTTACATATTTTCATGATATAAGCAAGGAGTTAGAAAGAATTCACAGTAATTTATAAACTGTTTTTGTACATTCAAATAGCATGAGCAATTCTGTGCTGATGTCATAAGAATTTCCGATTATTAATTAACACTTAAATTATTGTCAATCTTTAATTGCTATTACATCAGTTTGTACTTGTGCAATAAGTTTGCTCTTTAACAAATAACCATAGGATTTGTTATATTACATCCATTAATGATGGACTTCTAAAATCATCATCGCAATTTAAATTTGTAAGTTTCTCACGATATATTGTATGATAATTATTTTGATTCAAGTTATTAGCAGTATAAAAATAGTTGTATCCCATAAATGTAGTTCTATATGCTGTTGCATATTGATCAACTCACAAGATTTTCATACAATCAAAATGTATTATTATTCATACTCAAAAATCATTTCATTCAAATTTGTGTAGACTCTTAAGTACTTCAAACAAAGTCATAGGCATTGTACACTACTCCTGAGTTAAATTTTAAGCTCACTTGAAGCTCACTACTGTCTACTAGTGTATTATCGCCATCTGATGGTGAAACTATTTGTAATATGTAATTTCAGGACTTTAGAGAATCCAATACATTATAAATTGCAAATATCACAAGTTTACATATTTATCACTACAGCAAACGTGAAAGCAAAAATAATTTTAACAATTCTGAATATCCTAGCGATAGGTGTCTGTTATGTACAATATTGAAACATGAAGTGACACTGACATCTGAATTATTGAAACAAAAAGCTAATGAAGCCAGTATCATAACCTTAAATAATAGTATTGAAGCAGAACAGACTCATCTCGACCGTAAAATAACGTGGGGATGACGTAAGTGACAGTAAGTGACATCTCCACTAGCTTTGATTTTATTAATTACCATTCGTATGATTGAAGTTAACATTCAATTCCTTTTTAATAAAAAAGCCAGGAACCATGAATTTATCATGATAATAGTTATAATTACCTTCGGTGATTCGAAATATTGAAAAATTCAATAACACGCAATCAGTAATGTTACGAGTCCTCAAGCGTCCTGAAATTTCGCACATTTCTCTCACTATGGACTCTTAGATCGCTTCTTTACCCCCTCTAAGGACTTACACACCAGCGTTAAGTTGGGCGGATTCAATATCGGAGCTTTTTCCCTAGATCGTATATATAGCTAAACGATCTAGGGAGAATGTTCCGTCGAGCAAACAGCACAGCAGTAAAAGGGCATTGACAAAGACGCGCGAAAATTAAAAATTGTAATATTATAACACAAGTGCCTATCACCCAATGACCCGGAGCGCTTACTGGCCTCTCTATTAAACAATAAAGTATTAATTATTTACACAAGCGCCTATCACCCGGTGACCCTAGGTGCTAACTGGCCTCTCTATTAACTAAAAAAGTATTAATTATTAACACAAGCGCCTATCACCCGATGACCCGGGGTGCTTACTGGCCACTCTGTAAAATAATAGGTGTCACCTATAGCAGCTGGAGCGANAACGCCTATCACCCGATAACCCAGGGCGCTTACTGGCCTCTGTATTTAATAATGAAGTATTAATTATCAACACAAGCGCCTATCACCCGATGAGCCAGGGCGCTTACTGGCCTCTCTATTAAATAATAAATCATTAATTATAAAAACAAACGCCTACCACACAATGACCCTAGGCGCTAACTGGCCTCTCTATTAAATAATAAAGTATTAATTATTAACACAAGCACCTATCACCCGATGACCTGGGGCGCTCACTGGTCGCCTAATTAAACGATATATATTATTGATTAATAACACAAGCGCCTGTCACCCAATGACCCAGGGTGCTTTCTTGCCACTGTATAAATTAATGAAAGGTTAATTAATAACCCAAGGGCCTATCACCTCATAACCCGGGGCGCTTACTGGCTACACTATTATATGATAAAATATTAATTACTAACACAAGCACCTATCACCCGATGACCTGGGGTGCTCACTGGTCGCTTTATTAAGCGATATATATTATTAATTTATAGCACAAGCTCCTGTTACCCGATGACCCACGGTACTTAGTGGCCTCTCTATTAAATAATAAAATATTAATTAACAGCACAACCACCTATCACCTGATGACCGTTGATATATATCGTTTTATAAAGCGACCAGTAAGCGCCCCGGGACATCGGGTGATATGTGCTTGTGTAAATAATTAATACTTTACTATTTAACATAGTGGCCAGTAAGCACCCCGGGTCATCGGGTGATAGGCGCCTGTGTTAATAATTAATACTTTATTATTTAACAGAGGGGCCAGTAAGCTCCCCGGGTCATCGGGTGATAGGCGCTTGTGCTATTGAATAATACTTTATTATTTAGTAAAGCAACCTGTAAGCACCCCGGTTCATCGGGTGATAGGCGCTTGTTCTATTAATAAATATTTTATTATTTCACAGAGTGGCCAGTAAGCACTTCGGGTCATTGGGTGATAGGCACTTGTGATATTTATATTACAATTTTTAATTTCCGCATGTCTTTGGCAATGCCCTTTAACTGCTGCGCTGTCTGCTCGACGGAACATTCTCCCTAGATCGTATAGCTATATATGCGATTTTGGGAAAAAGTCCCGATATTGAATCTGCCTAACCCAACACAGCTAATATCTATATAGACAATACATATACATGTGCTAATTCATTGCCATGCAGATAAGGTTCTGAGTTGACTAAAGGTTGGGGTAGACAGTACTACCCCAAGTGAATCATGAGATTTCCTATAAAACGTTGCGTATAGCTAAGTTAATGTCCAACAAATACTCTTCCGAATTTTTTTGAAAACACAGCGTTTCTAAATTAAACATGAATGATCATACTTTTTCTATTTTTTTTTTTTTTTTTTTTTTTTTTTTTTTTTTTTTTTTTTTTTTTTTTTTTTTTTTTTTTTTTTTTTTTTTTTTTTTTTTTTT